ACTTCTTCATATATATATATATATATATATATATATATATAAATTCTTAGCAGGCTGACATGGATTAAAGGAGGGAATAAACACTTCTGTCATTCGTACGTTCTCTGATGGGCAGACACCAGGTATATCCAAACTTCATACTCAAAGGCTAAATTACTGATCATTAAAACACAACCGTTACTGGGGCCTACGAGCACCAGGCTAAACCTCGCAGCTGTTTATTGTTATTGGATAAAAGCTGCGTCAACGCCCCTGATTTTCGGCGTGCCGGTAGACCCTTCTCGTGGCTACAGCTTATTGAGCCACACACATGTGCAGACAAATAAGTACGCCTGCATAAGGACCAGTTGATATATACAACGCAACTGCCGACACAGCAACGACACGTACGCGCGACGTCCGCTCTACCAATTGCAGCACACATATGAGAGAGCATTTGACCTAACTTCATGGTCATTTGAAAGCAAACGTTATCACCCGACACAAACAATTGTTGACGCACGTACGCCAGGCTGAAAGCAGACAGTGGTCACTGCCACCTGCGACAGAAATTAGTAGATAAATATAAAATAAAACAACCCCTTCCAGAGACTCTTTCCTTTAACTTCAACTTGCTCATTTCGATTTGATGATTGTAGTGATCCTAATAAAATCACTAGGTAACCTAAACAATTAAGTAACCCCGACTTGATCAGCACACGCAACACATTCCACTTTGGCTGACAATCCCTTTCGGGCAATTGCAAAGCGACTTCACTGAACTGCTCACTCTGTTTCACTCATCGTCCCTCTGGCTGACAGTTCACGTTATTAAAATAGAATTCGCGAAAACATTCTTTCAAGTTCTTCAGGCGTCTGGATATAGCCTCCTTTACATAATGCCAGCATTTATTCATAGTTGCAATCTTCCACGGACGTACACTTAGCCAGTACGCCTGTTTTCTAATTGACATATGTTTCCATTTTGTTTGCTTGTGGGTTTTCTAATATATCATTAATTTACTCATAAACAAGACTACTTTATATTTATTGATGTTCGCTTTTACACTCCCCGCTGTATGACTGGTAGTTAAAAAAAATTTTTTTGCTTATTGAAAAGTGGGAACTCACTTTTTTAAGAAAATGATACTGTTAACTTCCAGCCGGTGTTCAAACAAGCTTATGTGCAACTTTCAGAAAGAACGTTACCGTTGCAGAAGTGTAAGTTTGTACTGGAAACGTTTTTAATTAGCGCGTTCACTTCCATGAAACTTGCTTCTGCGCATATTCATCACGTGCTTAAAAGTAATCATTTAAAAATGAAATATCAATAACCTTAGTTAGGCTGAGATACCTTAACGCAATAGGGTTACTTAAAGGACCAATAATGACATTTTTGCCGCATGTTGACAGTAAAGTGTAACTCTAAGGTGCTAAGTCAACCGACGCTCAAACAGGTAATGTGTTAATAGGAAGGACAACGTTTTAAACGACTTCATCGCAGCTTCGGCTTCTTGGAGTTCGGGGCTGGGTTTAGTTGGCTGATTATTAATCATACACCGGAAGGGGTAAATGCAGCCTTTTATGGGCTTCCTGGGCCATTCTTCGTACGCATAAATTTCTAGCTATCGCACGAGTGCTCGCGGGACAACGGAGTAAATTGCGAAGAAGAATGGATCGGAGGCGTTTCGTTATCAATATGTGAGTGGTCATCTTTTATTAGTTCACTCAGATCGCTTGTGATAGAGAGGCCGCAGGAACGGTATTGTCATAGGAGTCGCAAAGACTGGTCACCGAATTTTTTTATAGACGACGCACTTACATTAAATAACTAAAATCTATTTGTGTTAGAGTTCAGATAACTCGAGAGTTATAAATCGAATCCAAGTCAAACATTTTGTGGATAATTGTACACTTCTTGATGTCAGCATAATGTGGACACATGAACAAAGTGTACGCTTCAATGGTTTACCCGTCGATTATGGTGGTAATGACATACATTAGCAAAACAATATATTTGTCGTCATCTCATATAACATAATAGAAAGCAGAGTACGTTGAAATGGCGCATTTGTGAATACTATGAAAGAGGCGGCATGTGCATTATTTTAATTTCAAAAGTGATCGTTACCGTACACTTGCCCATCATGCCAATTAACATAAACACACACAGGTAACATTCAAGTTAGTCATTTTTACGAAAATTGTTTGAATAAATGATAACACTTTATTAATGGTCTCACTACCGGCAGCAAAAGCTTAATGTTCGGACATTCGACGCGTTCCACTGTGATCGTAGTTAGCGTGCAATATCAATAAATTTCGTTAGGGATTTGCAGTCATTACCGCGTTAATCCAGTTGACTTTCGTCGCTGTCAATGAATATTCGTCGAATCCCCCCGTGCATTTGTCAGTGCCGGTAGAATATACGCCGTAGACAACCCATTTAGATTCATTTGGAGGTAAACAGTGCAGACCTCCTCCGCTGTCACCATCACAAAGGGCCTGAAACAAAGTTTAATACAATATAAGTAAAAGAAGAAGGAGGAAAGGAGGACAGCATTCTGGTTTTACATTTGCAATGTAGAACCTCCACTGCTAATTCTTACCCCCTGCGCTTCGTCTGTACACAATGTCTCGTGTTCGTTGAAGCCACGAATGTTGCTTTTGCACCGAGGCGTTGACGCGATTTGTATTCCTACCTCCATCAGTGTCTCCGGATAATCTGGGTGGGGCTCATTAGGTGGATTAGGAATTAGTCCCCAGCCAGCAGATTTACAAATATGTCCAGCAGTAAGATTCAACCCGCGCGCTGGAAGACAGGCATATTCTGTCACCGATGCTTCAAATAAAAGTTAGTAAATTGTGTACATTATAACAGTCAGCCGTTAATGGAATTGCCATAATGAAAGCATTAGCATTTATCATTAAACATCCACAGTAGTTACTTGCTGCGTGTTGTAACATGATTTGATGGGAATGTTTCTAAGCTTAGGCCGTACGATACTTAGCATCAACACTATGCTTGGTAATCCCTCCAAACTGATTTAGCACAAAGAGTCGTTAGGCGGAAAGGATAATGCTTATGTCCACCTCAGAAGAAACCAGCCGTTATGTGCTCAGACGCACTCCAGTGACAGCAGTGAAAAAAGGAGGAGGTTAAATAATGGCAAAATATTTTTCAGGCCAATGGTTACGAAAAATCCTTATTCCCTATATTAAAAACATAAAAAAGCAACGCAAGACGCCCGAAACTATTCGAGATTGGTGTGGCCCATATGCTTGAGAATAAACCGCACATGCTTTAACATTAATGTAAAAAGATTAATCACGTTACTCCTTTCAATAGGAATGGAAATAGACCGAGCTAATGAGAAATATGCCAGATTTCTGACAGAGAGTTGGCCTTCGAATGACACATTCAGCAGACACAAAGAAATCTATCCCGACTAGAAAGTCGTTCTAAAAAAACTAAACTCCGCTTATAAGAAAAAGCAATGTCAGCAATAGGATATTACTCAGAGCTGAATGCCGGCAAATGCATGCAAAGACGGCGAAACCAATCACAAGGCAAACGATCGACGTTATTTATCTTCCTACCAGCAAACGGCCCGTTCAATCGATCGAAGCGGGTGCACCAGGCATCGCTATTACAGGAGGCTATGGGTGAAACACGTTTGCTCGAAGTTGGCGGAAAAATGACCAGTGCTGTATGACCATGAGCAGGATAATGTTCTTTGATCATCAGTCTGAATAAAACTTAGTCTTGGGTATTGTCGCACTGCTCCTTCGGCTGCCACGAATGATTGAAGTGAAGCCATTATACACTGCGGGTGGTAAACCTTAATTTCGTAAATCTTCTATGGTCATTGCCGCACAAAACTTTTATCAAATGTTATAAGGAAAACAATAACTTCGATATATTTGAATGAAATGTCAGGGCAGACCACGTCCTCAGACGTACATCGTTTGACCCTGCGGTTCAGTTGCAGGAGTGCGATGTCAAAGCCGGCGATTGAAGCGTGTTTTGGGTATGATGGATGTATAATTACACCTTTTACTCGCACGTTGTAGGCTGGACGCTGGCGCGTCGTGTGCTTATGGTCTGCGACTGTAACCGCCAAATGTTCTCCGGTGAGATCATGAATGGAGAACAGCTGACCATATGGAGCATTGCTGCATTGAAGGGCAATCACAATGCAGTGAGCGGCCGTTAGCACCCATGTGGAGGCAATCAGCGTGCCTCCGCAATACGGAAACGGACCCAGGGCTGAGCTATAGACTCCAACCTATGAAAAAATAAAACGAAACGGTTAAGCTCACTTAAAGTCATGAAATAATTGGATTTGTGTGTAGGTAAGTCTACGTTCAGGATGATATTTTGGCAATTAGTTATTAGTTGTCCGAAAAGCCCTGAAAAAATAGTTGCCGGCATTTCACTATGTTCAATACCGCTAGGCAGAAAACGTCCCAATTTCACGCTAAATTAATGCCTGTCTGCAGTTAAATTGAACGAGGACTGTATATACCTCTGCAGAATGATCAATCAAAAATGTGTGACCCATAGACTGTTTTCAGACTTCGGATATTCTTACATTGAAACATTCAGCACAATAACCCTAGCATGCACGCTATTGACTCAGCATACAACTGAAACAAAACCAACATCTGAGCGCAAAGGAATTGGTTTCTTTTAGGTTTTTGCATTTTTTTTTCAGGGGTTTTGACGATGCTGAAGAGATGCCTCAAAAATAAAACTTATCATTACTATTTGGGAAAAAGAGTGAGTTGTTTAATTTAAAACAAAGTTATTGCCGTCGGAGCCTTATGTATATACCTATAAAGGACCCAGGTCTTCATTTTACGTTGGAATAAGAAAAAAATTACGCCAAAATTCTTCTTTCTGAATACCTAGTGACTACATGCCTTTATGAGACTATTTATTTTATAATATTTGGATTAATTTTAGGAAAATTTATATGCCACAGTAGGTTTTGAATGTTGAGGCATGTCGACAATGCTTTTGTCGTGTTCAGATGAAACAAGCGGCAACCGCGAAGCATAGTGCAAAGTAATTTTGTCCAATCTTTTAAAATATGTTTAAAGAAAGTGCGTGAAAGGGGAGAGAGGCCAGTCGAGCAAATGTTTCCATTTTTCTTACATTTTTAGTCAATTTGATTTAAATTGTTTCGCTGATTTGTGATATTTTTTAAAAGTCAACGTTAACTTTATAACTGGTCGGTGATTCACTAGCACTATTTCTCACTTTCGCGTTAAGTGCATCACATGTTGTGAATCAAGAATTGAATCACTTAATTTTTACGGTATTTTGTTTCTTATGTGCCATAAAAAAGAAAGAAAACGTTATGAGATTTTTAATGTTTTTTGTTCATTAGATTGATCAACGTAATATTTCTATAGTCCACTTTTGTAAAGCGCGATTACTTCAATAGTGAGTATGTTTTCATTAACTTTCGTTGACA